GGCACAAGGAATTTTTGAGATCCACGCCTGGGAGGGGTCTTCCCACAGTCCAAGGGAAATGCACATTAGGAGCAAGTCGTGCACGGATTTCAAAACAGACTTCCCGTTGAACACTGCTTTCCATGAAGTTTTTGAAGTCATCCCTTACAGCAGAATGGGAGAATTAAAAAAAAAAAAAAAAAAAAAAAAGCCTACACACCTAGGCCCCCAGGGGTAGGACCCAGGCTTGGCTAAGTAAAAAGCTTTCTCAAGTATCCTGAGGTTCAAATGCAGTCAGAGTTGGGGCGTTCTGCCCTGTGCACGCACAGCTTTACAACTCAGGGGTGCTGGTGGCACGAGAGCAGGGCCCCTGTCAGGCCTGGGCACAAAACAGCAGCCATGCCCTTGCAGGGGCCCCATCTTACCTCAGGAAGGACCCACGCTTCCAAGGTGCCCAGGGACTTGTCAAGGTCACTTGGCTGCTTGCTAAGAGAAACCAGGCAGCTCTTCCGATCCCACACCAGTGCTCCTCCCCACGTAACCTGCATGTCCCTCACCGCCACCCCCCAGCCTACCTTTTGCTGGCCCTGGCGCTGGCCCAGGAACGGCTCAGCCAAGCCCTGGCAAGGAGGCTCCCTCCACACGCCTTCCTGCTACCGTGACCAGAAGGAAGGCTTCTCAATAAAGGGGAAAAGAGAGCGCGAGCGGGAACCAAAGATCCCACTCCATCTCATTAAGAAAGTAAACATAAGAGCCATCTAAGTGTCTAATTAAGCTTCTAATTAGTCCCTGCTTGTTACTAATGCAAATTAGATTACTCCGCTTAACTACAGCATGTCCACAACACCCTTGTTAATTGCGGCCTTTTGAAATTAAATTACTCCCTAATTAGCATATCAAAGCCATTGATTCGGCGCTGGGAAAGATGAGGGCAAGAGAAGCCGAATGCCAAGTTTGGTTAATCAGAGATGGCTAATTAAATAGTGACGTCTTCCGTGGGGGGCCTGCTGGCTAAGGGGTAGGGGCAACTCGCCCAGGGCCCAATCGGCCATCTGGAGCCTGGCTCTGGTGGTGCCCCTGGCATCAGGGGCTCCTGCGGGTCTGTGACAGACCACTGGCCTAGCTCTGCCTGGGCGCCGGCTGCTCTGCCCAGCCTTCCTTCACCTCCCCAGACTTGTGGGCACGGCATTCCAAGTGGTCTTGCGCATCCAAAACCCAGTCACACAGGAAGATGCAAAGTCGCAGTGCCCTTCCGAGGCTCTCCGTTCCCAGACAGGATCCAGAAGTGTGAGCTCTTCCCTAGGCCCCATCTGCACGTCCCTCCTGGAGAGAAAGCCCTCCCTTCCCCCAGCAAAAAGTCCAGAGAGAGAGTAAGCTGGGGGCGGGGTGGGAGGGCAGGGAAGAGGGTGAGGCTTTTATGGAGGGGCTCGCCTTGGCAGGGCAGGTTTGGCCTCAGCTTGGGGACAGCCTCCTGCAGACATAGGCCTTAGGATCCCCTCCATGTAGAAAGAGAGCTGCTCATGCCACCAGTTCTTAGTGGCTGGGTAGGAATTAGATTTGGGTCAGGGGTCCTCACTGGTCTTCTCTCCAGTCTTTCAGACAAGGGCCCCTAGATTTTCCTTGAAGAATGCTGGATGACTCTAACCAAACGCCCTGGCAGCTTGGCAGTTGGGGGGGGGCAGGGAAGAAGCAGAGGGCACTAAGAGGCAGCTGCTACTCCCTCACAGTCTATCCTTGCCACGCGGAGCTCACAGGGTCTGGGTTTTCCACACTGAGGGTGCTTATGTGCAGCTCTCCACAGTAATGAGCAGGGGCGTCTCAAGAAGACTCATGGGGTGAAGGTAGTCCACATGTGACTTCAGCCCTCCCGGCCAGCATTGCTCAGAGGCAAGTTCCACTCAGCTGTGGGACCCCGGGCCTTTCAAGTGAGAGTGATGACCGTCACCACCTGGAGGGTCCCCCAGGGCTGCTGGGAGGATGAGAACAAGCACAAGTCCTCCACCCGGGGTCTCTGCTGGCCACCTCATTCCACCTGCCACCAATCTTGCCCATGCTTCCTAATGGAAATGCCTCGTAGAACAATCCCCCCCAGCCCCACCCCCAGCTTTCAGGGATGTGGGGTGTGCACACGCCAGCAGGTGCCACACACCTGTGCCCTCGGCCCTGTACTGAAGGGGTCAGCCCATCTGGGGCACTGGTTCCTAACTAACTCTCCTAAAAAGGGTGGAACAAGAGCAAAGACCAGATGGCCAAGGGAGGCCCTGCTTGGTCCTGTGCTCCCTCCCTGCTCCCTCCAACCAGGGTGCAACCCACCCCCACCACCAAGTCCCTCACCAGAAGCACCTGGAGCATATAAGGTCAGGGTCAGGGCCAAATTCCCAAAGGGTGAATGAAGTTTGGTTCATTTAAGGAGAGATCAAACGGGGCCCAGGGCAGAGGAAGTCCCCCTGCTCCCCACCACAGAAAAGATGAACCCCAGCTAGTACACAGCCCAAGAGGCAAAGGGGCCCAGAGCACTGGTTTTGTTTTAGAAAATACGTGAAATTAAAAGCAAGGCAGGAAAAGAGAAATGGGGGGGGGGGAGGGGAGAGCTGTCCCGGTGTGAAGGGGGAGGGGCGACGGCAGCGCACCAGGGCCAAGCCGCAGCCTGCCTTGCGGAGCTCTCGCTCCCTACGAGATTCAATTAATTGATAACAAGAGGCATCAAATTAATTTCTGGAGGATGTGAGATTCTGATGAAGGGAAATCTCGTTGATGGGGATCGGGTGGGAGGGGGCGGGCAGCGCCCCTTTTAATCAGCTCAGGTGCCCAACTGGGTGGCTGGGTCCCGGGCCCGGAGCTCCACAGCGCCCCTCTGGGGACAGACCCACAGGGCAGGAGGCTCCGGACACTTCTGGAACAAAGAGTGTGTGCTTGGCGACCTCTGGGGCTCTTCCTGGCTCCCAACACGCAGCTTGGGGAAGGGAAGGCGGGAGAATGGTCCTGCAGATGCTCCCTGACCAACTGAGGCCCAAAGAAGCAGGCCAGGTGGCGACCAACCGAGGTAGGAAGTGGACTGCTGGGCGCTTCCTGGGGCCCCTCCCCGTGTGCCCGAGAGAGTCCAGACCTTGTTTACCACCAACTCACAAAGTCTTCCCGAGCACAAGGGATACAGCTCTCGGCCTGGGTGGCCCTCTCTGAAAGACAGAGGCCAGAAGGCCTGAGCCACTCCCCCGGACCCCCAGACACCAGTTGGAGCTGCCTGGCCCGGCCGACATTTTCTCAGCACCGCGGTGGGGGGGGGGGGCACAAACACAAGGGGCTGCATTCCCAAGCTCAAGTCTCCAGCAACGTCAAGTGCGGCTCACGCTGATATGCGCTCTGGAGCTCAGGGGGAAAGCCAGCTGGGGGGAGCAGTCCAAAGAGAGAGTGAGAGTGCCAGGCTGGCTCTCTGGGGGAAATCCTGGAGCCTTCCTGAAAGAGGGGTTCTCCCATGGGCGGACTCTGTACCCTCAACACAGCCCGTCACCACAGGAAGCACCTCTGGCTCCAGGAAGCTGGCACTTGGCTTCCCAAGTGCTTATGGCAGCTGCCCCTCGGAAATCCTGGGGCTCCATCTCCCATCCAAATCTCGCCAGAGCACCCTTCCCGTCCAGGATGGGATCTGCATCTGCTCAGGGAACCCCTGAAGGAAAGAAAGGACAGCCCACTGCCACCCTACCTTGGCCCAACTTTTCCAGGCCTGGCTCTCCTGGAAAAGTCTAGAAACCTTCTCCCAGGAATATGGAGCCAGGACGCTAATCCACACTCAGGCCTGCCTCAGCCACGGCCCATCCTGCTCCCGACTCTTCCCGGGTGGGCGCCAACATCCTGTCTTGGCTGGGGGAGGTCAGGACAGCCAGCACCCGAGAGTGGCACTCCGGCACTTGCTCCATTTCTGATTTTCCAGGTTGCAAGTGAACCACTGCTTGTATCACCTCTTCCCTGGGCCCCTCCTGCCTGTCCCTGCACACAGTAGGGGCTCCACCTCATTTGTTAAATGGACTCCATTCCCAGGGCCATTGCTTTGCACCCCTCCCTCCCTTTTTGGCAGTCAGAATCTGGGTAGCTTCCACACCCACCAGCCCTGCCTGCCTTGAACAAATGCCAGAGGGTCTGGATTCTATACACTTTGTACTGTCCAGGAAAACCACGATCTTGACCCCCTCCCCAAATCAGGTGCCATCAGAACCCCCTGGCTGGGAAAGTTAACACCATTGCCATCTTGCACGAAAACCGATCCCACCTAGCCTTGGGCTTCAGTGGGGCAGAGCATGGGGTCCAGGGAGGTGGGCAGAGCACCTGGGATTTGGGACACAGACTGCATGGCTACCACTCAGGCTGGGAAAGAAAAAAAAAGAAAGAAAGGTGCAAGGCTGTGCTAGAGGGAGAGCCAGGAAAAGACCGCAGTCTGAGGGCACCAGGCAGGCCCAGGCCTAGACACCACAGCCCCACACCCTATCCACACAGGTACCTTTTGCACGGGGAGCTCTTGCTTGCTAACGCTGCAGGCTCTGTAGGAGCTCCTCTTCGCAAAGCCCAGCCACAGAGCGCAGAGCAGGGCGGGCTCCTGCTGGGATCCCGGCTCCGCTCCGCAGAAGTGGCCTGCATGAGGGCGGGTATTTCCACCAAGACGCTCCAGATGCACTGCCAGAGCCAGCCAGCAACTTCAGGCTGACCTCATCAGGAGGAGGTCCCAAGCGGGTCACACACCTGCCCGAAGGCTGTGCAGGCTGGAGTCTGCACATCCTAGAAACCTTCCCTTTCAGAGAGAGGGGTTACTCGCCATGCCCCCCCCCCACTGCCCTGTGTTCTGGGGAATTATCCCTCGGCTCTGTATTAGTCTCCATCAGCAGGTATGAAAGGCCAGGCTCTGAGTCCACACCCTCCCTTAAAGAGCAGACAGGAAGGGAAGATAAAGCCTACACACTAGAGGGAGGAGAAAAGCCGGGGGGGGGGGGGGCAGCTCCCCCACCACCAGAGGCTCAAGCCCTCTGGGTTACACTGGGAGGCAGAAGCCCCACATCTCAGTCCTCGCTCTGCTACTGCACCGTTGCCACCTCCGTGTCATCTCAGACAAGTCACCTCCTCTCTCTGGGCTTCATTTTTCCCAACTCATAAAATGAAGGTTAATCCTCCAGCATTTCCAGGACTCTGCCCAACGCGTGGTCCGGCCGAGCTGGCAAACCAACAACGACAAAAGTCACCCGGTGCCCAGCACTCCTCGCGCCCAGCATCAAGCAAGGTGCTTCCTGTCGGCTCCTAGACAGACTCTCCAAGGTGGGTAGCACTGACCTACTTTACAACCTAAGAAAATGAAGGTTCCAAGAGCTTAATTAAGCTCCCCAGAGTCCCAACTCCACTGCCAAGTTCCAAAGCCCTTTCCACTCAGACACGTGCTGCGCTCTGGGAGGCCCCAGTCCCTTGCACTGGCTTCCACAGTGCTGGAATCAAGTCTCAGGTAGCTGCACCAGCCATGGACCCTCAGGTCCCGGTCAAAGCTAGCACGTTTGCCTTCCCTGGGCCCGGCAGGGCTGTGATGGTGGTGCCACTTGAGAGAAAGGACGCTTGAGGAGCCCTCGGATGGCCGGGCTCATTACTTCACACGATGGGGGCTGTCTGAGAAGCAGAACTTGTGCCTGCTTGGGATGGGAGTGGAGGGGCCTGGAAGACAGGCAGTGGGGCAGTAAAGGGCTAAGGTGAGGGAAGGAGGGTTAAGACTAGCAGGGTAGGCTTCCAGCTTCCTGGGGAGGGGCCCCTCCCCCCTCTCCCCTCCAAGCTCACACCTCTTCTCTGAAAGACACTCAGCTCCCACCCTCCCCTCCCTGCTGTGGAAGCCTCTCTCTCCAACCCCAACAAAGTGAGATCCAGGGAGCGGACCCCAGCCCGCACGTTGTGGGCACCCCAGTACCCAGCCTGGGACCTGCCCAGACAGAATGGGGGCTCAGTAGACGTGCGAGGAATTACTGGATCAAAAGAAAGTGGCCCAGTCTCCCCCTTCCTCTCCCCAAGGAAGAGGTGTGTTTAGAGTAGGGGCCCAGCAGGATATGCACATTCCTGGCAAGAAGGGACCTACCTGCCTGAAGCCAAAAAGGAAGTTTCTGGCCTAAGGCGGAGGAAGGGGGATGGGGTGTCTTGCCAGGGTGTGTGTGGAGGGCACTTACAAAGAAAGAAGCAGGCCCAGCCTGCCCCGCCCAGCCATCCTCCAGCCTGGAATCTGGCCTTTCCTCTCCCGGGGCTCAGGGCTTCCCCAGTTCCACAGTTCCTGGGAACCCACCCATGGCTGGGAGACACAAACCCCACCCAGGGGCCCAAACTTCAGTGCCAGGAGAGAAAGTTCCCACAGTATCCCCCGACTTGGTGCCAGGGCCAGTACCAGGATAAAGCAGGGGCATGAGGGTCCAGGAGGGAGAGCTTCAGAGGTCACTGGGGGCTAGGGCGCCAGGGCAAGGTGGCACCCACAGCCCCACCTCCTTCCCACACCACCTGGCCTCCCTTAGTGGGACCAGCACCAGACATGGAGCCCCCAGCGAAGTCTTTAGATACCCAGACGTCGGGAGGCAGGGAGGCAGGCAAGCTGCCCAGATGCCCCCAGCACAGCCCTGGTAGTGCCCTCCCTCCTGCCACAGGCCACGAGAGCGCAGAACCCTCAGCAAGACAAAGTTTCTCAAGTTAAACACACACAAAGTTTCTCAAGTTAAACACACACACACACACACACACGCACACACGCACACACGCACACAGGCAAGCAAGCAAGCCTGCCGACTTCCCCAGCGGTTTTCCGCGGGGGCGGGTAAAGGTTGTCTGAGGCTCACAGCTCCCCCTGAGCAGCCTGGTCGCAGTCCGGCCTCTGGTCCCTGTGCCCACCTGCCGGCCCACCAGGAGCGTTGTGGGCTCTGGGTACCCGCGGCCCCGCACGGCCTGGCCGCCAGGGAGCATTGCTAGTAGCACCTCCGCAGAGAGCGAGCTTATGGGTTGGCGGCTGGACGGATCCGACCCTCCCTCAACGTCGGGCGGCACTGACAGCCCGGCTCTCCTCCTTTCTGCGTGGTAGAAGGGGCGCCCGGGTGAACCCCAGCAAGTGGCCCTCAGTCTGCGCCATGGTGACCGGTAATTCCAGACCCAGCACAGTCCATGCCAGGACGGGCTCCGTCGGGCGCTTAAAACCAGCGGTGAAGATGCTCAAGTTCAGGTAAAAACCCGCATTGGCCAAAACGCTCTAGGGCTTCCTCGGGCACCACAGTAGAGGCCGCCCCGCAGCCGGGTTTGCTCCTCGGGGGCCCCCCACCCCTCTCCCCGGCTCCGGGTGCCGGGCCATTGGTCATGAGACCGGTTACTGGGGCGCTGGACATGCCAGTGACCTCAGGATGCCTAGACTCCCCGGGTGCCGGGGGAGTGAGGAAGCGGCCAGGCAGGGGAGGCACGGGCCGCTCTCCCAGGTGCAGGTCTCCGAGTTCCCTACCCTTTTCCTACAGTTGAGGGGGTCGGGGATGGGACAGGGTGGGTTTACAGGTGGCCCCAATTGGGTGAGAATAGGGAATCCGCTGCCATCAGGGCCTCTGCCTCCAAATCCGCATCCCGCGAATTTAGCAAATTAATCACACGGCCCTTTCCCGGCGCGGCTGGGACCCCAGGTCGTTCAGGGCACTCCCGAACTCCAGAGCCGCGGGCTCTCCTCCGGCACAACCCAGGGAAGTTTGGCCGCTGTTGAAGGGGAGCGCGAGGCGGAGCGCCGCCGGCATGGCCGTCGGGCACCGAGAAGCGTTTGGGGGGTTGTCCCAGGGAGACACCAGAGCCCCTGGGCGTGGGGTGGGGTCTTGCTCGGCCACGCCGGGACACTCTTCCCTGCTGGCCTCCGGCCTGGGGCCGCTCCCTCCTTGGTGGGGCGGAAGCTCTCCCCAAATGCGGCGAGTAGGGGAACGGCCCCCCACCCTCCGATTGCGGGGCTCCAAATCACAGGGAGCACCTTCAGACGCTCCGAGGTCCCCAAGAACTTTTCCACTGGATCTCAGAGCAGCGTGAGGGATGGGGAAACGCAGACCACTGCTCCCGGCACTTCCGAGGTGCGCCCTCGGCGGGACCCAGGCGAACCGCGGTTCCCTCTGCCTGCGACGCCTCTCGGGGTGTCCCGCACACAATGCAGTTGGGGGAGCCCACTTGCCTTCCCTTCTCAGCCCCGGCTGGTCCAGCCCGGGAAGGAGTCTTTGTCTGACTCGGGGCAAGGGGCTGTCGCGCCCCCCTAAACCCCATTCCCAGCGGCCCGGCGGGTCGGGGGGGAGGGACGAGGGCGCAGCCCAGATTCTGGGGGAAGGGCGGGTCTCAGTAGCCACTCCAGACACCCCCACCCCCGCCGGCCTCCGGCCTCCGGCCGCCCGCCGCCCCCCGCCCCCATCGCCGCGCCGGGGCCCCCACCTGTTCCCTCCGTAGCTCCGGCCCGCGGGGGCCCGGCCAGGGGCGGAGTGTCGCGGCTGCGTGGGGTCAGTGCGCTGGGGCCGGCCCTGGCTGGAACAAAGTGCGCCGGCCGGGGCCCGGCTCGTCCCGGCGCCCGGCGCGGCTCCGGCGGGCAGTTTGCAAACACAAAGTGAGCCAGGAGCAGGCGAGAGTGCGCGAGCGAGGGAGTTGGTCTGGGCGCCGGCCCAGCCCCCACCCGGTGCCGGCCCGGCCCGCCACCTACCTGTCCCGCCCGGCCGCTCCGTGCGGGCTCCGGCCCGTCAGCCCGCGCGGGGCATGGGGCTCGCTCGGGGCGCAGCCGGGCCCGCCGCCGCCCGCCGGGGCTGCCCCTCCGCGCCGGCCCGCGCCGCGCAGCTCTCGGGCGTCCTCCCCGCCGCCGCGCGCCTCAGCCCCGCCGGGGCATCGCACTCTGTGGGCAGCTCGGCTCGCCCGGGCTCTGCTCCTCCTTCCCGGTGCTCCCGCGACGCTCGTCCGCTCGCTCCGGCTCCCGAGCTCCGGGACCCCGGCGTCCCCGCCCCCGGCCCAGCCCTGGTTCCGGCCCGGGCTCCTCCCCGCCGCGCCGCCGCCGCCGCCCGCGCCGCGCCCTCCTCGCGGGCCGGGGGCTCCGTCCCGGCCGCCGGCCGCACCGTCCGGTCCGCAGGGGTGGCCGGCTCCAGACTCCGAGGGGCTGCGACTGAGCCCGGGCTGCGAGTGGCTGCGAGCGGGCGGCGCGCGGGCGGGGCGGGCGGGGACGCGGGAGGAGGGTGGAGGGGAAGGAGGGAGCGCGCCGAGAGCTAGGGAGGAGGGAGCGGCGAGCGGCGCGGGGAGGGGAGGCCAACTTCTAGCGCTACCATAATTCGCCTAAAGCAGGTGCAGCCGCTTTCCCCCCGCGAGACCGCCGGCCGCGCGCGAGCGAAGACCACGTGGACCAAACTTGAGGGGAGGGAAAACTGGGGACGTGGGCTGAAGACGCGGGGCCGCGGGTCGGAAAGAGGGGGCAAGGCGTTGAGATCCCGAGGGTTCGGCCTGGCCCGGGACTAGTGCCGCGGGGACCCTTTGCAAACCCCGGCCCTTTCGCCGGGAGTCTGGAGGTACGGCCACGTCCCGCTCGCACACGGTTCACTGGTTCTCCGCGGGCTGCGCCCGGCGCGGGGAGTGGCCGGGGGCCCCAAGCCCGGAGCTGGCGTCGGGCGGAGGCCCTGCCCTGCCTCCCCGCTGCTCCCCACTGCGCGGGGGCTGTGGGTGGGCTTTCTGAACCTGGGTGGGGGCGGGGAGGCCCCGGGGGGCTTTTGTAAACCCCCCCCTAGCCCGTGCAGCCGCCCTCCACCGAGGGGGAATTTCCCGGAAAGCGCTCTGCGAACCAGAGCAGGAGGGGACCAAGGGCACAGCGAAGTGCGAAGTTAAACAAAATTCAGTCTCAGAATGCGGCTTTTGCGCCGGGACTGGAAAGACGGCGGCGGCGGCGGCGGCGGGGTGTGTTTGGGTCGGGAGGGGGAAGTCCGGGAGAGGAAAGGCCCGGGATCCAAAGGGGCGGGCTCTGTTGGTAGCAGACGCCCCAGAGGCCGTAGAAATCTGCATAGATCCTCCCCGCAGCCCTCCGCGCCCGAGACACTGTCCGTCCATCCGTGAGAGCTGAGCTGGGCGGGCGAGGTGAAGGGGGCTCCCCAGCCCAGAGACGCCTGGTCCCCGTAACCAAGGGAGGGCCCCGCTGTGCAGTGAGGACAGGAACGCAATGGCTCTTTTTTAAAAAAAAATTTTTTTTATTAGGAGGCAGAGAGAACTCTCATCTTCGGGTTCACCCTTCCGTCAATAGCCAGGGGGCCAAAGCAGGAGCCAGGAATTTAATCCAGGTCTCCCAAATGGGTGGCAGGAACCTAATTACTGAAGTCATGGCCGCTGCCTGCCTCCCGCTGGTTTCGAGGGTCCCAGTTAACAGAAAGCTAGAATCAAGAGCAGGAGCTGAGGATTGAACCCAGGCACTTGGCATGGGAGTGAGAGCCAGGCAGTGGCTCCCGAAGCCTCTCCTGGCCCCAGTTACCCTAGGCAAGTGGGCAAGGGGCGGGCAGGCAGACAATGCTTCTGTGGAGAGAGAACTGTCTTTTTTTTTTTTTTTTTTAACCTTTTCGGAAGGTGCAACAGCCAGAAGTAGTTGTAATGTGTTATCTGCCCAGGTCCAGATCTTACATATTTGCCCTGTTGGGCAGGTGTGACAGGTCCAGCTGGAGCCTTTGGGATCTCTGGGTGTGAAATTGTTGGGGGACATCTCCAAATGCCATTTATTTGGATATCGTGGTGTCCTTTCCTGTGTAGCAATAGCAGTGGCAATAATAAAGGAGCAGCTGGCACCACATGCCAGGCCTATTGATTGGCTCATTTAATTGGCACAGGAACCCTATGAGGTAGATCGTTCTGCAATCTTCATTTTGCGGAGAAGGAAACTGAGGCACAGAAAGATCACACTACTTGTCCAGGTGTCCATAGCTGATTAAACAACACAGTGAGAGCCACCTGGGTTGAGCACAGGGCACTAGCTCGTGGGGTCCTGGATACAGCACTGCTGCTGTAGGTTACGGGTAGGAGGAGGATGTTTTTGGAGAAAGGAAGCTCTTGGTGGAATAATCTGATTTATGTTCTGTGGAGAGTGAGCTTGATGGAAGGCATGGTGTGTGGACAGCCCTGGACCAAGCCTGGAGGGGCAGTTAGCTGATGACCACGCATCTTTGCTCTCTTCCTAGCCTTCCTGCAGCGAAAGCTGAAGGTGGGATAAGAATTAGGGACTTGGGATACAAAAGGAGATTTTTGCACAGAGGAGGTGGGATGAGATTTATTTATTAATTTGAAAGGCAAAGTTAGAGACAGAGGGGGAGAGGTCTTCCATCTGCTAGTTCACTCCCCAGATGGCTGCAGAAACCAGGAGTCTGGAGTGCCATCCAGGTCTCACAGGTGCGTGCAGGGGCCCCAGCACTTAGACCATCTCTGCTGCTCTCTGAGGGTATTCACAGGGAGCTGGATCAGGAGTGGAGCAGCGGGGACTTGCACAGGCATGCAGGCTGTGGTTTAACCTGCTGCGCCACAACACCAGGCCCTCTCCAGCTCTTTGCAGGTGAATTTTCCTACTACCTATGTCTCTGCCCCATTGCCTTCCTGCAGCCACCCTCCACACCTCACAGGTGGGCTCACCTGCTCCAGGGGACTCCCTGAGACATGCTGCCACTTTCCATTTCAGTTTACGTGGGTCTCCAGTCTGTCTCCGTTCCCAGCACCCTGGGAGTCATAGTGAGGGGCCCAAAGAGGCCCAATCCTCACCTCAAGAGCACTTCAGTGAGGAAAGAAAGTGGGGCCAAGGAAAGATCCAGAAAAAATGCTTCCAAATTAAAAAAAAAAAAAGCCCAAAACCCTTCTTTCTGAGAAGGTTGGAAAGAAGCACCCTTGGTTTCCAAAGAGGAGCGATCCGGAACAGCCGCAGGGTCCCAGCATGGGATTCTGGGCAGGTGTGGTCAGGAAGCAAGGCCCACGGCCTGGCCCTAATAGGAAGGCCACGCTCCAGAGCACAGGACCCAGAGTCGGGCAGCTGGCACTGGCCGGTGTCTAACTGGGACAAGTTGCGCGATGTCTGAGCCGCAGGTTCCTCGCGTGTTGGGAGCATGCCTCCACAGGCGGTCCGCAGGACGGCATGAGAGCACGGGCGGAATGCCCAGCCTGCCGACGTGCTGCTCAAGTGCCCTCCAGAAATGCTCATGTTCCCTTTTGTGAGCCCCATTCCCCCCACCCTGAAAAATGAGGCAAAAGCTGCAAATCCTGAGATGCTCCTTCATAGCTGCCTGCTTCATTGCCTGCAGTAGGGTGGCTCAGAGAGGTCAAGGACATAGCTAGGAGGTGGCACAGCAAGAACTGGCCCCCAGGTCTTCCTGCTGTGGGATGAAGTGGGCTAATGGTCAAGGGTCTGATGCTCAGGGGGTGGGGAGACTATGTACAGAGGAACGTTAATCTCCTTATTCCCACAGTCCCAGGACATCTAGGCTCAGGTATTGCGTGCTTCCATTCATTTGACTGCTTGAAGCTGTGTTTTTTTTGGGGGGGGGGGGCGGGGGAGACAGAGTGAGTGCCCATTTGTTGGCTCACTCCCCAAATGCCTAAAACAGGGTACAATTAGCAAAAGGTTGGAGCTGTTAACTCAATCCCAGGCACTCTATAGGTGCAGGGGGTTAAGTTGCCACTTGAGTCGCTGCCAGTGACTGGTGTCAGAACAATAGTTCAAGTCCCAGCTGTTTCGCTTCCAATCCAGTTCCCTGCTATGTGCCTGGGAAGGCATCAGAGGGTGGCCTAAGTGCTCGGACCCCTGCCAGCCATGTGGGAACCCGGGATGGACTTCCAGGCTCCTTCCTGGCTTTGGCCTTGGCTATTTGACCACCTGGACCTTATGGCCATTTGAGGAGTGAAGCAGTGGGTGAAAGATCTCTCTGCTCGTCTGCCTTTCAAATAAAGAAATCTTCATCAAAAAGCAAAAAGCAGAAACTCTGATATGAGATGCCAGAATCTTTTTTTTAAAAAAGATTTTATTTGTTAACTATTTGAGAGGTAGAGTTACAGAGAGTGAGAGGGAAGAAAGGTCTTCCATCCACTGGTTCACTCCCCAAATGGCTGCAATAGCCGGAGCTGGGCCAATCCGAAACCAGGGGCCAGGAGCTTCTTCGAGGTCTCCCACGGGTGCAGGGGCCCAAGGGCTTGGGCCATCTTCTGATGCTTTCCTTTCCCAGGCCATGGCAGAAAGCTGGATCGGAAGTGGAACAGCCAGGACTAGAACCGGCGCCCATATAGGATGCTGGCACCACAGGTGGAGGAATTAACCTACTGTGCCACAGCCGCGGCCCTGAGATACCAGAATCTTAACTGCTAGGTCAAATGCCTGCTCTGAATCTTACTCTTTTTCTCAAAAAACTTTTAGTTATTCAGGAAAACACTTCATCAGCATAATATTGCAATTTTCCTAAATAAAGAGTGCTTCAAAAAACTGGTGAGAAATAGAATTCAAAAGTAAGTTTAGGGGCACAGCAATGAAGACTCTGCTTGGATCACTGAGTGCCTGTGTTCAGAATCCCGACTCCGCTTCCAATTCTAACTTTGCACTAATACACACCCTGGGAGACAGTAGCATGGAATTTTGGGCCCCTGGCTTCTGCCTGGCCCAGCCCTAGCCATTTTGGTAGTTGGGGGGAGTGAACCATTGGATGGGAGATCGCTCTCCCTGCTTGTCTCTCTTTCAAATAAAATGAAAAGTAAAATTTTTCAAAGATAAGTTGGGGGCTGGTGCTGAGGTGTAGCAGGAAAAACCTCTACCTATGGCACCAGCATCCCATATGGGTGCCAGTTTGTGTGTCAGCTGCTCCTCTTCCAATCC